TGAAAATGGTTCATTGGTTGTAATTATAGCATGAATGTGAGCAAGCTGTCAAAGTTCAAGTGAGTAGGTTCAGTTTTCATACACATTACATACAAGCTTCAATCATGTTGACAAATGATTTCATGTTCATGAATCAATCAAAAATGCTTCAAACATAGAAAAGGCATGTTGTGTGTAGCTGTGAAATGAAATACAAAAACTGTTGAATTGATGATGCATCAAGAAAATCATGGCATGAATTGAGTGGATTTAGATCAAACAATCATTACACACAAGCTATAAATATGTTGACAGATGATTCTACACTTAAAACTCAAACACAAATAAAGCAGAACAAAAAATGATTCATGGCTGCAATTATGGCATGAAATGATGCAGGCTGTCAAAGATGCAGATGGGAGGTTCAGTTTATACAGTTATCACATACAGGCTTCAAATCATGTTAGCTAGTTGGCTCTAGGATTCATGGATCATTCAATCATTGTTCAAACAGAAACTGGTGTGGTGTGTGCAGCTGTGGTAATGCAAAAGCTGTTGAATTGATGATGCATCATGGTAGTGAAAGATCAATCCAGGTAGAATCAAGTCATGTAACCAATACACACACATTACAAACATGGTAGCAGATGATGTTATGCTTACAACTCAGTTACATCTCTCTCAAAACAGAATCTAGTATGTTGATAGCAAGCATAAATGAAAATGTAGTGCTGTTTGAAAAATGAAAAATGATTTTGAATGCAACATGGTACATGGTATGAATAAGTTAGTTTCAGATCACACAAACATCACATACCAACCCTAAACATGCTAACTAGCTTCAAAGATCAGTGAGAAACATATGAAAACAAGATTTGGCATGTTGGCAGCTATGAAATGCAAGTAGAAATGGATTATGCAGCAAGGAAATTCATGGCTTGAACAAGACAGTTAAACATCACACACAAGTCTAAAACATGCTAACTAATGATTCTAGACTCATAGCTCAAACAGAAACATCTTAAAACAAGAATTGGATATGCTGTTGGTAGTGTAAAGCTTTGAAAATGCAAGTTGAAAGGCACAACTCAGAGCAGCAAGAAACATGAACGTGTGAAGGTGTGCACAACTCATAAACATATAATCCAATGATTTTGATGCAAAAAATTATGCCAAAACAAGTTTAATCAAAAAGTGACATGTCAATTGCAAAAAATGCCTTGAAAATGCATGATGATGGCCATAGTTCAACATAAGAGGAAAAATGCTCAAATGAAAGTGTGAACATCTTATACACATGTTATCTAATGATTCTAAGTGCCTAGATCAGACAGAAACAGTTTCAAACAAAAAGTGGCATGTAAGTTGCAAGAAATGCTTTAAAAATGCAAAATGTAGGCTTCAGCTCATGACAGAAAGAGATGATGATGAGTGATGACATGTACAAGTCACAAATATTATATTCATGGGATTAGGATGCCAAAAATCATATAGAGATGCCTCAAACAAAAATCTGGTGTGGGACTGTTAGTGATTTTGAAAGCATGCTTGTGGTTTGTATTGGAAAAAAGTGTAGGAATTCAATGATGTAGCTCACATACTTGTCATACAAAACATGATTCATGCATACTCAAGGATCAAAACATGATGCAAGGTTTGATTAATGAGACTTCAAGCAAAACCTGGTATATGTCATGGCAATTTGAAAACAGTTTCTAAACAAAAACAGTTATAACTTCACAAGACTTCAAACTCATAGCATATACTTCTCATGTTGGCAGAACAGATGCAAGATGAACATCATGATGTCAAAACATATTGGATATTCCACTCTTATGTTAACAAACATGGAACAAGCCTCAAGTAGAATTTCCAAGACAAAACAAATGTGCAAGCCTCAATTTTCAAAATGCATTTTGTGATGGTTACAAATATTTGACAGCAATGAAAGTATCATGAATCACAACAGATCTTATTAGATGATTCTTTATGTTTTTATCAAGTTCAACAAGGTTACCCCCTAATAGCAAGAAAAGCATGGTAATATCAAAGCAGCCAACAGTTCTCTCCTCAAACAATTGAGATGCAGAAAAATCATAGCATGAAACATTGCAGTTGAGTGTAAAACAGGCAGTCACATACTTCAATCATGGCATATACACAGTTTTCTCACGAAGATGCAAAAATAAAGCATTATATTTGAGAATGGCATATTAGCAGCAAATTGTACATTTAGATTGAAAGCATGAACAGAAAGTTGCAATTTGAAATTAAACCTAGTTTCAAGGAATCAAATCCAAAATTGTCAACAAGGGTTAAGTGGGGCTGTACTGATTGTTTCTCAAACTGTTTGCAGCAGAACCACCATAAATCAAATGAACTTGTGATAACAACCAACAACAACTCATGACAGAAATGAAACTCAACATCCACAAAACACAATCATCAAGGCAATGGTAGACCAAGGTAATTTACATGCTCAAAACAGTTGGCAAAAACAAACTAGCAGATTTTCATATGAACTTCATTTTTCATTTAAACACCAATCATGTCAAGAAATGCTTATGACAGAAAATGGAAAAGATGATAACCACCAACCTATTGTAGACCTTCACACAAACTTGTTGTAGTATAGAATACCTTGAAAATGCTTCAGCTGCTATCCAACCAGAATTTTGATGAAAACAACTCCCTTGTGCTTGAAGAAACTTGTGACAAGACTCAAAATAAATGAGGATTGTGTTGTTTTATGTCATGGGCAGTTGATATATCATATATCAAGGGTGTGTGGATGGTTAGAATGAGGAAAACAACTTTGGTCAGTGGTTTGGCAGATTTTGAGCATATGGTCAAACTTGCTTGGTTTGAGAGTTGACTTTTGGGAGAATGGTGTTTTTGAGTGGTTTAGGAGTATGAACACCTTCTACATAACATTTATGGATCGCGCAGATGGTTTTTGGTGGTTTGGAATGTGTGGAAATGAGTTTGGACAACCAACTGCCCACGACAGATTTTGGTGAAAACTTGGAAATTTGAGATTAAGGCAAGTAAGGAAAGAAGGAGAGCTGTGGTTTTCTCTTGGTTCTAAGAGTGATCTGCTATGAAAATGACATAGGGGGAGCCTCTATTTATAGGAAAATGATGGATGAGGACAAATTTGTAATCTTGGCATTTTGGAGGGATTTTGAAAAGGAAACCCTTGGCTTGAGGTTTGGTACAGCTGCAAGATTCAAATCCTTGCCTTAACTGATGAATTGTTCAAGTGGAAATGAATGACATAATGGTGATTAGAGTGGCTAGGCAGATAGGGGGCTGTTTGCTGCAAGTGGAAAAAGTTTCTCTTTCTTCCTTCTTTAATTGATTATTATATTGTCAACTTGCTTACAAGTTGCAAAATCCATCAATCCCTTCTTTCTTCTGGTTTTCCATTCATCTAAGCCTTATATTATCATAATGAAACATAATCCAATGGCTGAGGATGGTCCAAGTTGTTGAAAATTTGATTTGGGAAAAAGTTGAAATGGTGACTCAAGTGTTAAAACACCATCTTGTTAAATTCATAACTCTCAGCTCATAATGGCTATGGAGGAGTTCTGCAACCTTTTAAAAAGCCCTCATGTAGCTCTACAACTTTCATGTTTTCATGAGTTTCAGATTCCCAAAGGAACTTTCCCAAAAAGCCTCTCAAAGTTGCTAAAAAAACAAGCCTAAAAGTTAAATTTCTCTAAGTTATTTCTCCCTCTTGTAATGAATTTGGTCATAACTCCAAATCTATGCATTTTATGATCATGGACCACTTTGGGACTTTTGTAGGACTTGTAAAGAGCTTTCCAATGAGATTTGAACCAACTCAATTGGACGTGTGGTTAAGGAGTTATGGTCTAACCCCTTTCAAAACCTTAATTCCCGACTTTTGCAATTACTCCTCAACCCTTGATCCAATGGTCATGAAATTTTATGGGTAGATGCAATACGTCACTAGGAACATTTTTGAATCACATATTGAGGTCAAATTCCTTATGAGTGAAGCGTTGACTTTTCGGTCAACCGAACGATCGATCGGTGACTACCGAGTCGACTGTTGATGCTCTGGACCTTTTGAGGCTTTGAAACTTCTTGAATGGACTTTACCAAGCCATATGAACCTTATGGACCATGATCCCACCATTGTAACACCTTTTAGATCAAAATTCAAACCACAGTTGACTTTTCCTGCTCGGAAACCCTAATCGGGTATCCTGAACTTCACTGTTTTTGATTCCTGGGTGACAACCTCAAATTGGATTCATAATTGATCCAATGTAATACATTTGATGATGTGGAGACTCAATTCAAGGAGAGCCAATCCAAAACGTTGACTGATTAACTCTTGAAACCTCGATTTCGGCTGTGCGGAACCCTAATTCCTGTATCTTAACAAAGACAAGCTTGAAACAGTTTAAGGTTGTATAATCAAATGAGTATGATCCTAAAATGATGATGAAGATCTAAGGGGTAAAAATTTGGGGTGTGACATTATCCCTCCGAATTTTACATCATACTTCCACTGTCGTCGGTCACCGAGGTTTGAGGATAAGCCATATTATGCCTAGGACTTTTGTGTGATCCATTCATCCTAAATAGCTCCAGTTTTATTATGTCTTCATTTAGAACATTTTGAAGTTCCACTCCTCCGTCCCGCGGTGTTGGTTTTACCGCCGGACCAAGCCCTAATCTGTCACTAACTTCCGTAGATACTGGTGGACAGATGGTAGGCATAGTGGATGGTCTCCAACTAACCTCACTCGTAGGAGAACTTGGACTTGCAAATTCAAATAAAACCACATTTCAGCAAGAACAAACAAGAATCCAATCCAAATAGATGTAAGTCATGCAATTGAGGTAGTTGGAAAAGTCTAACTTGTTTCCATTCTATTTGGGGTCGCCTCACTGTTTGCATCAGAATATGTAGTTGAAGATATGCCTCATCACCAATGACTTACACACCACTTCTTTGCCTCCAATCTGATGTTGAAGCAATCTCACTTCTTGAGGTGCCAAAATCTTTTCCTCTGGAAGTTGATCTCCACATCACCGATTTTGTGAGGGTAACTTACGAAGCCTGTTGAATTTCCCAAGGCTTCGCCATTTCCCGTTCCTAAATCTATTGTCAGCTCTACCATCTCGCCTAAACCATCGGTTGAGAACTTAAACAAATCTAACAACAGGATAGCGTTGGAACAAATCACAAAATCAATGGTCATCAAGAGTAAACAAACCAAAATGGGAACAAATTATTCATTAAATGTTGGAAATCAAGCAAGGATGGTATGTTTTGAATGGTCATCAAGCAAAAAATTATAAGATCCGAAAAATCAACAAAGCTAAGTGGCAAACCACAATACTGATTCTTTCTAAGAATAACCCTAAACACCATTATCAATTGTCATAAATTACAACCAAACATGTCCAAACATGTCGTATAAATTTGGAAATTCTTTTAAACAGAGCAAATAAAGACACAGAATTCAGAAGACATTAGTGGGAGACCGAAAATACCAGTCGAAATCCACACAAGAACATCATAACATTCTCACGTACCCAACGCAGAGACACGATATGAAAGTTTTCACACGGGAGCGAAGGATTTGAAGCTACTAACCTTCGAAGATTACGACAAGGCCATCGAACGCGTTACCGTCCTCGTTTCCAACCGACATCACCGCGAGTCAATCTTTGTTTATTTTTGGAGACGGAAGAAAATACAAAAAGGAGCACGAATTAAAACATCACCAACACAGCAAAGAGAAAAGGTAGGAGAAGAAGATTTTTAATAGAAGAAGAACACGAGCAGAAGAGGAAGGATTCAATTTCATACCTGAAGATATTCTCGCTTATCATCATCAGCTTTAATTCAGACAGATTCTGGAACACTTCTTTGTGCCATAGGTAAGATTTCCTCACCACTTTGCTTTGATTTTGTGACGAACATATAACTATTGATAGGAAGTATCGAAGTCCTAACACAATGGGTCTTGATCCCTCTGCTTCTTTGTTAATTTACGCTTTTTCAAACTTAGGGTTTTTTGAGCGATTGTTTCGGTTTGGAAGATTTAGTATGAATTGAGAAAATTGAGTTTGGACGTGGAGAGTGAAACGAGAGAATGAGTTTTTCTTTTGAGGATTGAACCTCCGCCGTCGCTGACGGTGAACTCTGGCGCAGAGGAGTTGAACTCAAGGGTGTTTTGATTTAGAAGCTTTACCCTCTGAGAATGAGAGGTGATTCGTGTATTTTTTTCAATTCAGCTAAACCCTTCACTAGCCATCAGTTTCACGATGGGCCTCAAGCCCAACAACATTTCCAGCTACACCTCTCTTTTGATAACTATCCTCCCCCCTCAGTCCGAGCCTTGAATTTTAGGCCCATTCGACCTCTTTTTTTAAAATTATTTATTATTCTTTTTCTTGCTAACAATTTATGTTTCAATTGATTATTACTCCTTTACAATCTAATTGTTATTAGTAATTCATGTTTAGTAATTTTATATTTTTATTGATTAATAATAATTTAGGATTGAGTAATGATTTTAAGGTTTAATTTATTTAATCATTTAATTATTCGTTAACCATTCATGACTCTAATTGGTTAATAATCTTTTGTTTCATTTGATTAAATATTTATTGACGAACTTGTGAATTTTGTTAATAACCTATGTTTGTGACAAATGATTAGCAATCTAAGTGACTGATAATTTGTAATTTGTGGGTGGAGGATTGGCGGTTCAAAATGTTTTTAAAGTATTTTTTATTTATTTAATTCAACGCATGATTCATTATTTGACCCAATTGGAGGATTAGCCTTGGGTTTAGGATTGCAACTGACCTATCCGTTTTGATTAAGACTTTGTTTGAATTAATTAATGTTTGCCTAATAGATCCTCGTTTTGTGATGTTCCTATTTCCTACATTGACTTTAGTACGTCTCCTGAATGACAGTTTGTGATACTTGTTGCTTATTAATAACTTCCTGCTGGTTCTTTTTAGTTTAACTATAAACATATCTTGAATTGCGCTTGTTGTTACCCTTGATTTATTAGATGTTTGCATGTCATGTCCAAGGGAAGAACTTGTGTGTGACTTTATAAGTCATATGCACTGCATTATTCATCTGCCTCATTGACTCCCCTCAGGTTGATCAGCTTAAGTTACCCCCCTTAATCCTTAGGCTAGATTTTCATAGGGTTTTAACTTAGACAACTTATAGACTAAATCTCATTCTCACAAGAGAATTAAACATGATTCAACTGCAAAGTCGAGATATAATCCTCCTATCCCATAACATAATCGAGAAAGATGTAGAATCTTTTCCTCTTGAGAGAGGTATGTGGCATGCTCGTTGATTAAATTCGAGTTGGAGCCCTTCTCTCAATGCGATGCGAATACCATTACGCTTGTGGTGGTTAAAATCGAGTATTCTCCCTAAGATGGCGACTTGCCTCTTCTCCTAGAATCAATCAACAAACCTTATCCCCCCTGGAATCTTGACCACAGTCAAGAGTTCCTCGCCGCTTTAAGGGAACTACGAATGCTTTTATTCCACTCCCGTCAGGATACATAGGCACAATATCTAATTTCTTGGTGAGCATACTTAGAAATAAACCCCTAGGTCTCTTACCCTTAGAAAACAACAATAACAAGATTAAAATAAGAGGTTCCTGTAGAGTACTACAAATGCTTAGAATGCTAACACCTTCCCTAGTTTTAACCAACCCCCGAACCTTAGATTCTCTAGCTTTGCGTTGCATTGCATACTCATGGGTTATTCGATCTTTTACCCTTCCCTTGGACAAACTAAATACTGGCGGTGAATAATGATTTGCGATTCAAGTTAAACAATAGCTTGATATCCAATTCTCAGCGCGACAAAAATGGCGACTTCACTGGGGACTGCATCACTTCTTGAGGGTTCCCCCTAACTTGTTTATTTGTGTTTATTGTTATATCTATATGTTTATCTCCATATTTATTTGCTTTGGGTTGTTATCTTTGTATGGTGAGATAAGTCCTACACCCAGACTTGAGTGCACTTATGATAGGAAGGTGATATATTTGAGAAGGCTTATAAGGAGTTGATTCCCGACCAAGCTGACTTGAAGGACTTGATAGGAAGGTGATATATTTGAGTGCACTTACTATTTTCGACCTAGAAGCCTATGATACTGGGAACCTTTAGTTTCCTTTAACTCAACTCGGCCTTTCTTAGGACGTAGTGTGATGACTATGAGGGAGTAGTCCTAAAATAGTTGATACGCAATGCTACACTCAAAAGAGGTTCTCTTGAGAGTATTATTAACTACCAAGTATTTGGGAAATTTATAATATTCGAAAGATGGAATGATGACTTTGGGAACTTTTAGAACCCTTGTTCTGCAGATACAGTCAACCCTTAGTCCACACTATTCGGGGATGGGTAGACTCTTACTCCATGCTCGTTGCCTTTCAAACATAGGTTTTCTTGCTTATTTGAATATATGTGTATCTTTGTGGATCTTTATTTGCACGTGTTTGTGCATTCCTGCATTCATAAGCATCATATTGCATTGGTTTCGTGGAATTCAGAGTTTTATTTATGAACATCGCAGGACCATCATGGATTGCAAAAGAAAAAACACTTTGAAATATTCTTTCAAGAGTATTAAATTAGATGACCTAAGGAAGTTAGGAGCTCTGGTTGAAGATCAAGAAAAGTTCAAAGACAAGTATGGGAAGTTTTTATCATTATTGAAGGTTCAGGTGGACATCAGACTCCTTTCTACCTTACTACAGTTTTATGATCCAGATTATCACTGCTTTACTTTCCCAGATTATCAGTTGGTGCCTACCTTAGAAGAGTACTCTCAGTTGGTTGGCTTGCCCATTCTGATTGAGTCTCCTTTCCCTTTTCTGGAAAAGGACCCTAAAGAACAGTATATTGCTAAGGCTATATATATGAAATTATCTGATATCAAAGCTAATATGACTACTAAAGGTGGAGTTTTTGGATTAACCACAGAGTTTTTGATCAGGAAAGCACAATATTACGCCGATTATATGAGCATGAACGCATTTGAGGCTATCCTCGCCTTACTCATCTATGGAGTGTTTCTTTTCCCAAGCTTTGAAGGATTTGTTGACCTTAATGCTATTAAAGCTTTCATGAAGAATAATCTAGTACCAAGTTTACTAGCCAATGTTTATCATTCAGTTCATCTTAGAAACTTTCATGATGGAGGAATGGTTACTTGTTGTGTACCCTTATTATACAATTTATTTCGCACTTGCCCAAGTCTGGCTCCTTTTGGGATCTCAATAAAGATCATTGATCACAGAAAATTATGGCTCTTACCCACTCGGATATTGATTGGTACAACTGTGTCGATGATGGGATACTAATCATTGACAGTTGTGGAGACTTTGCTAATGTGCCTCTCCTTAGCATTAGTGGAGGAATTAGTTACAATCCTGTTTTAACTCACCTTCAGTTAGGGTATCCTCTGAAAGATAAACCCAAGAGTGCTCACGTGGAAAATATTTTCTTCAAGGATCGCAAGGAACTTCAGGAGAAGATTGTGATTGCATGAAGCCATCTACACAAAAAAGGAAAAGAAAGTTTGGGGAAACCTAACTGTGTTTCTTTGAAACCTTATCTCTAATGGGTCAGAGAAAGGGCTATCTAGCTGAAAATGCCTTATCCCCGACAAGAGCCCATTCCTTTGAAGAGAGAACCTGTTCTGGTTTTCATGTCTGAAGCGGAAGAATTGAAGATTGCTCTGAGCAAAGCACAACAGGAAGGAGAGGCTTGAAAAAATAAGTATCAAGTGGTTGTTGAAGAGAATGTTGAACTCCATAAATAACTACAACTGAAGAATGAAGAAGTACTTTCTTGCAAAAAGAGAAAAGTGCAGGAGGATTTATTTTCCTCTAGCCCTCAGACTACTCCTTAGAAATTGATCATGGACAAGCTCTTCTTCGAGAAGACCCAGTTAGAGGAGCAGATTAAGGAATATAATACAAGACTTCTTTAAGACTTTATTAGCTTTTACTTAGTTGTTATTTTAAGACTCTTTTTAAGAATATTTATTTGTAATCCGTTATTAAATAATAAATGAGTTTCTTATGGTATTCTATGATGTTTGTAAATACTCGAATTCCATGAAACCTTTCACATTCGTATCTTTGCATTTTGTTTTCCTCTAACCCTTCAAGAAACGCAAATTGTTTTACAGATATTGTAAAATGGATTTTGGAAGAAGAGAAACGCTGAAGTACACCTTCAAGAGTCCGAAGCTTCAAAGCCTAAGGGAACTAGGAAGTCTAATCGATAATCGTTTGACCTTCTCAGATGAATATGGAAGAATTTTTCCATTTTTGAGACTCAAGATGATTGATGGGTTACTAGACACACTCGTCCAGTTCTACGATCCTCTTTACCACTACTTCACTTTTCCCGACTACTAATTGATGTCTACTTTGGAGGAATATTCTGTCTTGATGGGAATGATCGTCATGTCTTAACCTTTGTTCTCTGGAATAGAAGACATACCTAGTGATCAAGACATTGCAAATGTTATGCGCCTGAGTTTGTCTGACATCTAAACTCACATGACTACTAAGGAAGGAGTCCTTGGATTGTCGGCTGAATTCTTGATAGAGGAGATTCATTATCATGCTGATAAGAAGA